CCCCCCCCCCCCCCCCCCCCCACCCCCATTAAGAATAACAATACAGCTCATGCTTAAAGTTATTCAATGTTGAATTGTCGGTACCGTTCCAGATCTAATCTGCAGAGTTCTTAACTCCTTCACTGCTGAAAAATTTCCATCAACATCTGTACAGACAAGATAAAATGTTAATTCAAGGAATATCTAAACACAGAATTGTTTCAGAATAAGCAAGCAAAATCACAAGCTGTAACTCAACCAACAAAACTTCTTTTGTCAACCAGACGAAACAATATGATAGTAGGAGATTACAAGCCAGAACATACGTCTACACCGCAGTGAAGAGGTTAAGGTTTTGTTAGAATTTGGCTCAACAAAGTCTTCGAAGAGGTTCCTGGTTTGTCTCTTATTTTCCACATGTCTCAGACTTATAGAAACTTCTGCTCTAGAAGCTCTTCCTCATTTCTTTGTACCTTTCTGCCTTCATAACTGACAAATGCAGACGGCCTCGCTCGAGATCACCACCCGTGGCTAAATTTTAAAAATTTCCTACCACCAACTGAAAATGATTGGTGTGTCCCGCGCGCTCATATGACCTTATGCAGTTGCGAGCGCCGTAAAACACTAACCCCCCCAAAAAACCCTTACTAAAAATTTATCGGCCTGATCTCCCCTTCTTCTTTTTTTATGTTTGTTTTTCTCTTGTAACAACTCTAATCTTCTGGCGCCCCTTATGACTTTATGCAGTTTCGAGCACTTTAAAACCTCTACTAAAGCTAAAACTTACTGAAAAAATGTGTAAAATGTTGTCAACAGGTCAGACGCCAGGGAACCAGCCGTGCCCACCCTCGCCAGTGTTTGTGTCCGTCCCACCCCGCAGCCAGAAGCTGCTCCACTCCGAGGTCTACATCAGGTGAGTGCTGGATACATGATAGAGACGGGCGTTTCCTTTCTTTAGACCGGTGTATACACGTACACTGACACAAATAGACAGACGTGTCCTTTCTTTAGACCGGTGTATACACGTACACTGACACAAATAGACAGACGTGTCCTTTCTTTAGACCGGTGTATACACGTACACTGACACAAATAGACAGACGTGTCCTTTCTTTAGACGGGCATATACACGTACACTGACACAAATAGACAGACGTGTCCTTTCTTTAGACGGGCATATACACGTACACTGACACAAATAGACAGACGTGTCCTTTCTTTAGACGGGCATATACACGTACACTGACACAAATAGACAGACGTGTCCTTTCTTTAGACCGGTGTATACACGTACACTGACACAAATAGACAGACGTGTCCTTTCTTTAGACGGGCATATACACGTACACTGACACAAATAGACAGACGTTTCCTTTCTTTAGACGGGCATATACACGTACACTGACATGCTCACCCTGACACGGGGGCTCTCGTGGCCTAGAGGTAAGGTGTTCGCCTCTCATTCAAAGGTCCCGGGTTCGAATCCAGGTAGCGACCGAAAAATTTTCTTCTCTAAAATTGTCTCCTTTCACCTCCTTTCCTGCTCTCTAGCAATATTCTGTTGTCTGCTTTCGTCTCCTTTTCCTGCACCCACCCCCTCACCTCCTTTGCCCCCTCCTCTGGGCTCCTGACTCTTTCTGCAGCTTTTCTACTGCTACTCCTTGACTCCTTCTTACAGCTGTCTTTCTGCCACACCCTGATCTTCTGATAGGAAAGATCTACACCTAGCCTTCTCGGACAAGGGCGAAAAATCTCGGAGGGCCCGTATGCAAGTTGCGCTCGTTAAAGATCCCTTTGTGGTCTAAAATCGATAAGAGTAGGCTTCGGCCGCCACCCGGGCAAAATTCAAAATTTCCTACCAACTAAAAGTATTAGGTGTGTCCCGTGCGCTCATATGACCTTATGCAGTTGCGAGCGCCGTAAAACACCAAAAAAACCCAAAAAAACCCACCCTGACACACACATCATACACTCTACATCAGGTGAGTGTCAGATACTGTACACAGGTGTGTCCTTTCTTTATACCGGCGTATACACGCACATGCACTCACTGACACAGACACATGCACCCTCTCTCGGAGGCCTACATCAGGTGAGTGCCAGATACATACATACATACAGACGTGTCCTTTCTTTAGACTCGTTTGTAGACGCGCACTGATACACACATCATACGCTCTCTCTCTCTTTGTCTCTGCTCCCTTCGAAGGTCTACATCAGGTGAGTGCCACATACAAACAGGCATGTCCTTTCTTTAGACTCGTTTGTACAAGCACACTGATACACATATACATACTCTCTCTCTCTCTCTTTCTCGGAAGTCTACATTAGGTGAGTGACAGATGTGTCCTTTCTTTAGACCGGCGTTTACACATACGCACAAATACATTGATACACTCTCTCTCTCTTTCTCTCTTTCTCTCTCTCTCTCTCTCTCTTTCTCTCTCTCTCTCTCTCTCTCTCTCTCTCTCTCTCTGAATCTCTCTCTCACTCTAGGCATTCACGAGCAACCCCGCAAGGGAGGGAAGAGCTAGCAAATTCAATAAATGAATAGAAACAAGAAGATAGAGAAAAA